AGAGGAAAACAAAGGAAAAACACTCTTTGACATAAACCACAGCAAGATCTTTTTTGACCCACCTCCTAGAGTAACAGAAACCAAAACAAAGATAAACTAATGGGACTTAATTAAACTTAAAAGCTTTTGCATAGCAAAGGAAACCATAAACAAGACAAAAAGACAACCCTCAGAATGCGAGAAAATATTTGCAAATGAAATAACAAACAAAGGATTAATCTCCAAAATACACAAATAGTGCATGGAGCTCAATATCAAAAAACAAACAATCCAGTTAAAAAATGGGCAGAAGACCTAAATAGACATTTCACCAAGAAATACATACAGATGGCCAAGAGGCACATGAAAAGATGCTCAACATCACGAATTATTAGAGAAATGCAAATCAAAATGACAATGAGGTATCACCTCATGCCAGTCAGAATGGCCATCATCAAAAAATCTACAAACAGTAAGTGCTAGAAAGGGTGTGGTGAAAAGGAAACCCTCCTGCACTGTTGGTGGGAATGTAAATTGATACAACAACTATGGAGAACAGTATGGAGGTTCCTTAAAATACTAAAAATAGAACTACCATATGACCCAGCAATCCCACTACTGGGCATTCACCCTGAAAAAACCATAATTCAAAAAGAGATATGTACCACAATGTTCATTGCAGCTCTATTTACAATAGCCAGGACATGGAAACAACCTAAGTGTCCATCGACAGATGAATGGATGAAGAAGATGTGGCACATATATACAATGGAATATTACTCAGCCATAAAAAGAAACGAAATTGAGTTATTTGTAGTGAGGTGGATAGACCTAGAGTCTGTCATACAGAGTGAAGTAAGTCAGAAAGAGAAAAACAAATACCATATGCTAACGCATATATATGGAATCTAAAACGAAAAAGAAAAAAAAAGGTACTGATGAACCTAGTTGCAGGGCAGGAATAAAGAGGCAGACATAGAGAATGCTCCTGAGGACACGGGGTAGGAGGAGAAAGCTGGGGCAAAGTGAGAGTAGCACGGACACATATACACTACCGAGTGTAAAATAGTCAGCTAGTGGGAAGCAGCAGCATAGCACAGGGAGATCATCTCGGTGCTTTGCAATGAACTAGAGGGGTGGGATAGGGAGGATGGGAGGGAGGCTCAAGAGGTAGTGGGTATGAGGACATGTGTATGCATATGGCTGATTCGCTTTGTTGTGCAACATCAGCTAACACACAGTACTGTGAAGCAATTATACTCCAATAAAGATCTATTAAAAAAAATTATTTGGAAAGCGCTTTTGGTATTTCAGATAAAAGTTACCATAATGCAGCCAAGGTACCACATCTAGCTTTACATACCTGATATGCCCTAAATGTTGTTTGCAAATAAAATCCTTTACATACCTGGTATGCCCTAAATGTTGTTTACAAATGTGTTAGGAAAGGAATATTAAATGTGTTAGGAAATGTGTTAGGAAATGTGTTAGAAAAGGAATATTAAATGCCTTTATAATGCAAAGGATCCTTTTTGAACCCCCAAACTGGGTTGCCATGTAAATTTATGTTTTCAAAAGTCAGATTTCTATAAAAGCACAGTAGACCTGCAGTGCTGTTTACTGCAGGTAAACACACAGAGCTATTCACAGAGGCTAGTAATAAGAGCCATGTTCATGTGAGTAGGACATTTTAACAAGCACCAGCCATAGCACCCATCCATAGCCTAACAGAAAACCTCTAACTGTGGGGAAAACATGCATTTCCCTGGAAATTTCAACATAAAAAGTGTTAAAGAATAACCAGGAGTCATAAATGAGCTGGAGTCTTTCAAGGTCATTTTCAATGTCTATCGTTTTACTAAGAAAAATGCAATAAATTCGCTGCATAGATGAAAATGACATTCATGCTAGTCAAATATTTGTTTCCTGTGGCAGAAGAAACCATCAAGGGAAAGTGTTTTCTATTGTATCAGCACTAACATAATTGACCCCAAGAATAGAATAATATTTGAAAATAAATTGCTAATGGGATAGTACTTAAATATATAGATACACACACACACACACGTTTTTATATTTCCTGATTTAACAAAGAAAATGTTCTAGGGAAAGCGCAGATCTGATCAAAAGGTCTGGTAATCTTTCCTTCTTTGATTTTCTGCAGCACTTACTGTCTGCATGAATCATTTGGCATGGGTGAATTGTCCTGTGTCTTTTCATGCATGTATTTCTTGTCTATACAATGAAAAAGTGAGCTCCTGGAAGGAAGTTCCCTTTGACACTAAACCCAATCAATGCCTTGTACATAACCTGGATGCCTTAATCACTGACTGGCATGTGCATTTGCAGGGAGGAGCCCAGTGAGATACACTTAAAACCTTTATTCATTGATTTACAAAATGTACAATATTTACAAAATGTAGGCATTAATCCCATATTGACATGAACGCTGTGGGGAGTCTAAAAATAAATAAATGGCACACAGGTTGATATACACATCGCGGCTCTTTGCACTTCAAGCTGTCACCAACCGTAGGATTTAATGGAAGGCTTAATGTGGTAGAAAAGTCAGATGGATGACTAGTCCTGGGCCTTCCACATGAATGGCCCTTCCTTGGCTCCTTGAGGCTGGGAATGGTGAGCAAACCACTTTCTTTGAAGAGAATGAAACACCAGCCATTCTGACAGGTACATGGGGTGCATGTAGCCACATCTGTGTGGATTTTGCAGTGACCCCCCTGGGTGGCAGATGAGCCTGCACCATTGTGGATCTGGTCCCTACACACCACCAGGGAGGCTTTGGAGTGGTGCCTTCTCATTAAGAACCAAGATTTGGACTTTATCTCTTATTTTAATCACATGCAGTACTTGGAAGGTGTCAGTGGAGAGCGACCCATGCACAAAAATGTATTTGTAGGTATATACATCAAATTATCATTGTCTTATGGCATCTTCAGATGGAAGATCAACCTGCCTCCTCTTTGACAGCAAAAGGAATGAATGAGGAAGCCATACCCACACACACACACACACACACACACACTCCCCCACAAAGAGAAAACATTGTCTGGGGACACACACAAATGGCATCCTATGGAAGCAGGACCAGACAAACTCCACATGATAAAATGGACAAATTCCCATGATGTCAGGCCTGGAAGTTTTCCTAGGGGTGGCAATTCCACCTTCCCTTCCTCTTCCATCCCACCTCATCCCATATAACCTAAACTGGAAGGAAAGGCTTCATGTTACTTCTTAGAGCCTTAGTACCTTCATCTGTAACGTGTAAATACTAGTAACATTCCTTACAGGGTTCTTGCAGGGATTACATGACCCGACTCATGTAAAGTGCTTAGTGTGGCATCTGGCACATAAGAGGTGCTTAGTAAATGTCTTGCTTTCTCTCTCCCTCTACATCCCCTGCCCCAGTTGTAAGCAACATATTGATAAACCTACCAAACTCTGAATTAAGGTTATTTGATGCAATTTAGATTATTTTGTTTCAGAGTTTCTGCTGTCAGTTCACATTTGGTCCCTGAGGGGGGGCTCATTTTATGAGCCTGAGACATTTTCCTCTGCAGGGCAGATGGACCCTGACAACACTGGCCTCCTGATCAGCAACGACTCCACCAAAGTTCATGGAAATACACCCCCTAACCCTGCAGAGAAACTCATACCAGTGATGGTCACCACCCGAATACTTCTGGGACAATACCACTGAGAAAACCACGAGCAAAAAGCTTGAGGCCAACACATTACTCTTATTCACAACATAAATTAAGTTTTTTCAACACTGGTGCAAGTCTTATAGATAACTTTCAACAAACATATATTACAAGCTCTACCACTGTTGAAAAATATGTATTCTAATTCGATCGTTTTGTTCAGAATAAAGAAGATTTTACAATATATTTTAGTCTCTAGTTATGCCATACAAAAATAAATATTGTATAAATGATTTATAAGGAAGAAGAAAAAATTGGAGGTGCCAAAAATATAGGAAGGATGGTGGAAGTTTTACCATTTACTTCAAAGGAAATCATCTGAAAAGAATAAAAACATCTTACTGGGTCTCTTTACTAGTCTCACCATCACTCCAGTGGTCCACCTACTTCTCATCCTAGGATATTACATCTTCTTTTCCTATCAATCTTGAGACAACTTAATGCAGAACCTTCTCCCTGAAGTCACTGGGGATCTGGAAGAGGGAGAACAAAGAAGGCTCTGGGGCAGTGTAAACTGCAGATGAAAGGTTTGGCAGAGACACTTACTGCGCCCTCACAACGAACTCGGATCAACCCTGCACATCCGCCTTTCGTTTTGAAATCCTCTCTCTGTCTCAATTAGCTATGCCTGAATAGAACCTCATGGCTGGAGGAGATAGCCCCATACTGCTGTCAGCCTCTTTGGATGCCTATTGGTCCAGGTAGAATCCAGGATTTCATGGAGCACAGTTAGGTGCCAAATCAAGGCCAATCTCACCAATTATATGAAGGGATAAACAGTCACCTTATGGGTGCTAGTTCCATTAAGTTGGGAAAAATCCTTCTCTAGCCACCTTTCCTCCCATACAAAAAAACTTTTATGATTGCCTTTATTTCTTTTATGTCCCATGAGTCCCGCCATTGGGAGAAGAATATTGGGACAATTAAATTGGACAAACTGCCCACTAGTTTTCTAGAGACTTGGTCAGACTCTCCAAGGAAATAGTCCATTCATTTGGGAATCAAAGTTTTAAAACTCTAAAGCTATAAATGAATTCATGACTGGACCACTCAAACCGGGGGTCATTGACCTTTCTGCTGAAGAACACAGATCTACACGTGTCCATATAACATATGCCTAACATCTCAGAGGGCTGCAGGACCTCCTGTGGCTCGTGCATGTATTCCAAACTAAAAGCCCCAAATCTCAGTAAATGCAGAGCTATTTTTTGGAGGGGAAACAAACCTTTATGGTATAGAACCCAGGGACTGTTTTGGGGGCAGGCTGCTTTGATGAGGTCTTGGACTTGAAGTGACTACATTGGAGCAATGCTTGTTCCCCGTGGTAAGTGGAAGTGCTTGGCCGTGAAGACATCCGTGAGTGTTATGGTTTCACATGTGTGACTACTGTCAGGCCTCATGCATGACTTATGGACCCTCCAAGTCCCCATGGATCGTTACGACACATGCCTTTGAGCTGCTATAACGTGAGTCCCAACCACACCCACAAGCAGGACACTATCACTGACATGCGGCCTCGGTGCCCATTTGTCTGATTTATGGGTGACGTTGTGGTAAATGTGGCATCACTTTCATTTCGGGGGAGCGGCAAGTTACAGATATTTCCTTCACAGCAGGAAGTGCAGACCTGAAATAAAGGAAGAGAAAAAGAAGGGTGATGAGAAGCTGGCAGGTCTGGGAGGGGGCCAGAGATTTTTGAAGGAATTGTCTCCCTCACAGCAAGACTCAAATGAGAGTTACCTGTTTTACAAAGGAGACACCAACCCTGCATTTAAGGGGGTGGGATGAAATTTCACCTGGTTTATCACAATAAACCCCCGTCCCCCAGACTAAATTCTAGGAATGTGCATTCTGTTTTTGACATGTGGTTATTACACAGCTTTACAGTCTTCCTAGGTCTGAGCTCTTCCATCTATGAAATGGGAATTGTAATACTTAACCTTTCTCAGAGACACTCTCATGGTAAACGTTCATCTGCCAAGTTTTCACAGTGAAAGTGAAGTGGCTACAACGCAGTGAATTTAAACTTAAGTACTTACTTTCATTATAATTGTCTGCATAATTAGCTCCATTAAGTAAGAGTGGGAGTTGCCCCCAACCACCAGGAAGGCAGCCTGATGGGGAGAAGTGGGCAGCCTCCAAATAAAGGCCAAGGGCTGATATACAAGATCACAGGTACAGCCAGCTCGGAACGACGGGCGAGAGAGTCAGGAGCATCCCCCACTCCAACCATGAGTCAGGCTGCCCTTCTCTGAGTCTCTATATTCTCTTTCTCCATAGAAGGCAAGGCTGCCTTCTAAGTTTGTTTTACACTGAGTGCTTCTGCCCAGGCACCAGAGGGAGGCATCCCACAAGGAGACGGTCCTCTTGTCACCTGCTCAAATGACTCAGGAGCCAATGGATACCCTCCCCAAATCAGCATCCCAATAAAGATATGAACCCCGCTTTACAGAAAGTTATCAAAGCTAAATTGCCTTGTCCATCTTCAGCTGACTGAACTGTTAGTACATCTGCAATGCTCTACCATGAGGGCATAACTGGCCCCTTGCTCCTGTCCCTTTTGGTAACTTTATTACTTTCTTCTGAGTGAAGAAAGGGCTTACAGTCATTTCAATACCCTCTTGGTCTTGTGTTTACATAATTTATACCAGTTATCCTGTGCCCTAGTATAAATTTTTATTCTTTTAGCGCCAACAGGAAAGGAAGCAGCTTGTCATAACTGTATAAAGACAGTCAAAAGCCAGCCTACGTCAGGGAGTAAGGATTGGCTCATGAACCCTGGTGGGCGTCTGGAGAGGAGGAAGGCTGACTATGCTGTCCTGTCACTTGCTTTGTTGCCAGACCTTGTGGCCTTCACGCTCGGAGTCTCTGCAGCCAGTGGACAAGCAGTCTTCCAGCGGAACGCAGCGCTTGGTGACGGCGATGCTGTTTCCTGTGACTTCCATGGTGTGCTGAGTGTAGCAGTATCTAGTCTCTGTCAACAGAGAACATAGGTTTTAACTGAGACGGGAAATGTTAGCCCAACCTGCTTGAAAGCGAAACAGGAGTGTCGACACTAGGGTCTAACAGCATCCGGAACATACACTGTGTTAAGTTGATATCTGGTCCCAAAGATCTCCTTGGAGAGATCCACTTCACCGTGGTAGAAAGGAGGCCTTCTGAAGAATACTGGTCTCTCTGCCCATAAACCTCCATAAACCAAGACCCTGCGGTATTACTCTTTGCCTTCCAACAAATTTTGCCACTGTGTTGATTTTTATTTTTAGGGGAGGAGAGGTTTGGAGCGATGACTGAGGATACGAGAGTCACAGTAACTTTCAGGAAGACGAAGGGGTGAAAACATTCAAAGAACACAAGGTTAAAAGAAAAAAAGTGAAGCAGGTAAGAAAGATCTTCAAAGAGAGAAAAGACTACAGGGGAGACTGGTGTGTGTGTGTGTGTGTGTGTGTGTCCAAGTGTGTGTGCGTGCTCACACACACGACTGGGAAACAGCTATTTCCAAGTAAGACAGAATGATTAAAAATAGATTCATTGTATCTGGAGAAAATGACTTTATCCAAAAGAGAACTTCTTGCCTATGAGCATAGCTGGATCCTACAATTCATGACCGGTGAAAACTAACCCAACAATAAAGGTGTTCCAGATTGAGGAGTCTCACCATCTCTCCCCAGCGTGATCTCAGTATCTTTCCCAAAAGGCAGACGAAGACCATGAAGTGAGTTTCTAGAGTCCCTCTAAGCTTAGGAGTCTGAAAACTTGAGATTTCTTCCAAAGTTCTATGGAGAATTTTTTAATTTGCAATTTAAAGAAAAATGGTTTTGTCAGTGTAATTCTTTAAGGTCTCCAGGTGGTATTCAGCTTTCTAAGTCTGGGATTTAGGAGAAAGTTTCTGCTCCACTTTTAGACTGGAAAAAAAAAAAAAGAAAAATTCTTTTTTTTTTTTTCCCGGTACGCGGGCCTCTCACTGTTGTGGCCTCTCCCGTTGCAGAGCACAGGCTCCGGACGCGCAGGCTCAGCGGCCACGGCTCACGGGCCCAGCCGCTCCGCGGCATGTGGGATCTTCCCAGACCGGGGCACGAACCCGTGTCCCCTGCATCGGCAGGTGGACTCTCAACCACTGCGCCACCAGGGAAGCCCCAAAAGGATAATTCTTAAGAAATGTCATTGAGGTGATTTTCATCCATATCTTGGACTGAACGTTTCATGCTTTATACATTTTGGATATTTAGTGGCTAATATGGAATTATGACCTTCTATGATATTATTTACTAGGCAATAAAAATTCCCCTCACCAAAGTACTAACTAACATCAAGAGAAGAAAGCTCAGGAATATTCGGCCCTGAGGATGAGCTAATACAGACCACACAGACACATCTTGGGAGTCATGAAAATCAGGGGGTTTAATATTCTTCCTAGACATCCCCACCCAACAGAACCTGAGTGGCCTGAGTCTCGCTAAGGGCAAAGACTTGCCCAGCATTGGTATGTGTACCTGAACTGAGTCTGTGTCAATGCCCTCCCCCAAACGCTGTCTCCACACTGCCCCCCGACCAGAATTTCATCACTTGGGATCAGATCAGGGCAGTCCCTAGCGTGCTCAAGATCCTGGGGGCTCTTTGGAGTGGGGTAAAAGTAAGGTCACCCTATGAGCTCACAAGAAAACCTGAAAGTTTTCCACCTGGCAATGATTCTCCCAAAGCTCGAAAGTATTTCAAAATTGGAGTGGTTGTTTTTCTGATGAAGAGGAGATGGCATGATTTATTTATTTATTTTTTAAGACTTTAGCGGGGTTTAACAAAACAAGCGCCCTGAGAGCTTTACCACATCTTTCAAAGAGGACTGGTTTACTTCTTTAGTATCAGACTTGGAGGTTAATGGCCATGCTAGGGACGCCGTTCTTAGCCCCACTCCCACTTCAGACATTCAAGAAAGCAATGTTCTTATCTCCTGTCTCCTCTTCCCGCAGCTGGAGCAGCTGCCAGAGGTTTTATTGCTCCGAGTGTAAATCTGAGCAGATAAGATGATACATTTATGGAATAAGTAAATCATTTCATGGTTTCAGTTTTGGAAGTTAGGTTTTTCCCTCAAGTATTGAATTATCTTGTTTTAAGGATAAGCCTTAAAATAACAATTGATGAACATGATATAACCACTTTTTGTTCATACTTTTATGTTCATAACAAACTCTCTTTTAATTTATGAACTGGAAGCTTATTCCATTATGTGAAAGTAGAAACAGTTGATGAACCTGTTTTTTTTTGTTTTTGTTTTTTTCAAGATGATATGCAAAAGCCCAATACCTAGTAAGCCAATTCTCGCCATTCCGGGGCGAAAATGGTGATCAGTGATGAGACTGGATAAGAATTTTTTCTTACACTTCACCAAGTCCAATCCATACAACAAAGATATATTGAGAGTACTCCATTACTTGCAGCAGTAAAGACCTCAGATCTGAAGCATCAATCACTTAAAAATATCCATTCTTACCTCGCAAAACCCCGAGGTGAGTTGTGAAATGTTAACGTGGAAAAGGGTTCTGTGGTTCAATAAGTTTTGGAAATGCTCAAGGTTGAGCAGCTCTCTTTAGTGGATAAACTTACGAAAGCTTTGAATTTGTATTGTGATCTCCAAGGCGGGGGTGAGAGGACGGGGCAAGCAGGCAGAATTTCCCAAGCAGAACTAGGTGGACCACATGTGGCTTATCACTGGTGGTAGGACTGATAAAAACTGAGTTTCAGCCCCAGAGCCCTGCTTGCCATGCATTTTGAATAATCCTTGAGTTAGTAATGAGGTTATATGAGAATCAAGCCTGCTGATAACTTCACACTAAAAGGATTTCAAAGACTTTTATCTAAAAGATAAAAGATGGATTTGAATTTCTACCAGTTTACTTTCAGCCTCTAAATCTCATATTCCACAACTGCATGGAATTCCCAGAGGCTGTGAAACAAAAGTCTTTTACTGTGAGACTCACTGGCATTCAACTAAAATCAGAACTGGGTAAGAGAGCTTAATCAACTATTGAAGAATACAATTTTTATGAAATTCACACACACACACACACACACACACACACACACACACACACCACCGTTTCTTGCAGATAGCATATAGTTGGGTCACCTGTTTCAGTACATTCGGCCAATCCATTCCTTTTACTTTTACATTTAATGTAATTATTTATATGTAGCACTTAATTCTGCCATTTTCATTTTTATTTTCTGTTTGTTCTATTTTGGGTTGTTTGTTTTTTGTCTATTTTCTTTTTTCGGCATTC